TTTAGGTGTGGTAAATAGGGGCATAGGGCGATTGATTGCAAGAAGCCCGCTGGTTAGAAGAATAAAAATCTTCTGATTGAGGAGGATATGATAGAGGAGTACGAGGAAGTTGGGGAGCCCGTGTATGATGATGGTGAAGATGAGGACGTACTATATGGAGATGGTCAGGAGACCCTGGTCGTTCGAAAGAGCCTGCTAACTCCCAAGGGCAATTCAGGGGACAATTGGTTGAGGACCAACGTTTTCCACACAACCTGCACAATTGCTGATAAAGTCTGCAAGCTGATAATTGATAGTGGCAGTTGTGAGAATGTAGTGTCTGAGAAGGCTATCGATAAACTGCAACTGAAGATGGATTGTCATCCCAAACCATACAAATTGTCTTGGCTGAATAAAGGCAGTGAGGTAACGATAGAAAAATGATGCTTAGTGTCTTTTTCGATTGGAAAAAGATATTTTGATAATGCTTGGTGTGATGTGGTATCAATGGACGCGTGTCATGTTTTGTTGAGAAGACCTTGGCAGTATGATCGCAATGTTATCCATGATGGGCGGAAGAATACTTATTCTCTTAGCATTAAAGGGAAGAGAATTGTTTTAGCGCCTCGCAAGGAAGAAAACATCCCTGCCCTAGTAGTTAATAACACCAATCTACCTTCATGTCCAGGTTCTTGGTTGAGGTTGGGCGTGAAAAAATAGTTTATGCTTTAATGCCTCATGAAAATAGTGCAACGAATGTGGATTCGGAATTACAAGCAGAAGTGCAGCAACTACTGATGGAGTTTTCTGACTTAATGCCGGAGGATCTTCCCCCAGGACTACCACCTATGAGGGATATTCAACATCAAATCGACCTTATTCCGAGGTCGAGTCTACCAAACCGACCAGCATATCGCCTCAGTCCCAAGGAAGCTGAAGAGTTGCAGTGACAGGTGGTAGAATTATTGGAAAGGGGCTACATTCGTGAGAGTATGAGTCCTTGTGCAATTTCGGCTCTACTAGTGCCGAAGAAAGATGGGTCGTGGCGTATGTGTGCTGACAACAGGGCAATTAACAGGATTACAGTGAAGTACAGGTTTTCAATTCTCTGCCTGGACGACATGTTGGATCAATTGTCCGATTCTGAGGTCTTCTCAAAAATCGACCTTAACAGCGGATACCACCATATCAGAATCAGGCCTGGAGATGAGTGGAAGACCGCGTTCAAGACACAGCATGGATTGTATGAGTGGATGGTCATGTCCTTTAGACTATCCAACGCACCCAGTACTTTTATGAGGTTTATGCATCGGGTTTTACGGCCTTTCATGTGGAAATTTGTGGTAGTCTATTTTGACGACATGCTTATTTATAGTCCGACATGGGAGTCACATTTTAATCATCTTCGTGTTGTCATTGATGTAATAAGGATGGAGCGCTTATTCATCAATCAGAATAAGTGTTCTTTCTTCACAACTTCTGTAACTTTTTTGGGTTTTGTTGTGTCTACTGATGGTGTTCATGTAGATCAATCCAAAATTGAGGCAGTTTTGAATTGGCCCAAGCCAAAAACTTTGCACGATGTCAGGAGTTTCCATGGATTGGCATCCTTTTATCGTCGATTCATCAGAAATTTCAGTACCTTGATTGCTCCTATCACAGAGTGCCTTAAAGGGCGTGATTTTCAGTGGATCGAGGAGATAGAGACTAGCTTTCAGTTGGTTAAGCAGAAGATGACAGAAGCCCCAGTCTTGGCACTTTCGGATTTTGAAAAGGTGTTCGAGGTAAATTGTGATGCGTCTAGAGTTGGTATTAGTGGTGTTCTGAGTCAGGAGGGGCGTCCAGTAGCCTTTTTTAGTGAGAAGTTATCGGGATCGAAGAAAAATTATTCCACTTATGACCTAGAGTTCTATGCCATAGTTCAGACTCTAAAGCATTGGTGCCATTACCTGGTACAGAGGGAGTTCATTCTTGTTACTGATCTTGAGGCCTTGAAATACATCAATAGTTAGCACAAGCTGAGTAGGCGACATGCAAAGTGGGTGGCGTACTTGTAGGAGTTTACTTTCACACGAAGGCATCAAGCAGGGAGTTTGAATCGAGTAGCAGATGCATTGAGTCGTCGCACATTACTCCTCACCACCATGAGCACCAAGATTGTCGGATTTGAGGCATTTCCTGATATGTATGCTGCAGATCCTTCATTTGGGAAGATAATTCGGGAGGTAACTGATAGCCACCAACATGATTTTGTTTTACATAATGGCTACCTATTTCGTGGATTGCAATTATGCTTTCCGGATTGTTCACTAAGACAACAGATTATTAGTGAATTTCATAACGAAGTACATTTTGGGCGAGACAAGACATTGGCATTGGTCTATTCTGATTATTATTGGCCCAAGTTGAGCAGTGATGTGGCACATTATGTGGAGCGGTATTATATATGTCAGCGGTCTAAAGGGTCTCTTACTAATGCTCGATTGTACACACCATTACCCGTACCTAAAGCTCTTTGGTTTGATGTCAGTATGGATTTTGTCTTGGGCTTACCTCGTACACAGCGGGCGATGGATTCCATTCTTGTTGTGGTTGACAGATTTTCAAAGATGATTTATTTTGTGGCTTGCCAGAAGACAATGGATGCTACTCGAATTGCTTATCTTTATTTCAGAGAGATTGTGCGTTTACATGGTGTTCCACAGTCAATTACTTCTGACCGTGACACTAAGTTTATGTGTCATTTCTGGAGGAGTTTGTGGGGAAAACTTGGGACAAAGTTGAATTTTAGCAGTGCATACCATCCCCAAACAGACGGCTAGACTGAGGAGGTGAATCGGAGTTTGGGAAATCTTTTGAGAAGCTTGGTAGAGACTAAACCGAAGCAGTGGGATTTAGCATTACCTCAAGCAGAGTTTGCTTATAATCGGTCGAGGAATTGAACCGCCGGATTGAGTCCTTTTGAAATTATCTATGGTCGGAACCCATCCGGGGTACTTGATTTGGCTCCAATTCCACGTGTCGGTCGCTTCAATAACAAAGCTGATGAGATGGATGAATATCTTCGGGGTATCTATGAGCAGGTGAAGCTATCCATACAGGATAGTAATACTAAGTACAAAGTTTGGGCAGATAGTCATCGGCGCCAAGTGTTGTTTGATGTTGGTGATTATGTTTGGGCAGTATTAACTCGTGATCGTTTTCCAGCTGGGGAATACAATAAGCTAAAGGAGCGGAAGATTGGACCTTGTGAAGTACTGCAGAAGATCAATGATAATGCTTACAGGTTGCGCCTCCCTAGCCATTTGAAGACTTCTGACGTCTTCAATGTGAAATGCCTAACCCTTGTTTTGTAGAGTCCAATGAAGTTACTGTGAACTCGAGGGAGAGTTCTTTCCAACCCGGGGCGACTGATGCAGGAGGATCCGAGTCGAGTGATGCTGATTTGTCAGATCACACGATGATGGCGCCGAGATACCATGAGATGGCGAATCGGCGCAAAGATGGAAAGTGAATCGCAATTATTTCCTTAATTGGGGGAATTTGACGCGTCTTTGATAATTTGGCCATAACTTTGGCTACGGTTATCGGAATCGCTATTATGACCTCAATCCGGAAAGCTCTCTTTGGCACGCACATCGTGGCCACCCAGCTATGCTCGACGGGTGTCAATTTCGAGCCCAAAATCCTTTGTTTTCATTTCCAAAATTCAATTTTAAGTTATTTTTTGCTATTTATGGTAATATTTCGTTTCCCTTTTTCCATATATTAGAAAACTCCAATTGAGCCAAAATTTTGGCAACCTACTTCTTTTACTTAATATTTTATTCTCGTATAATTTCGAGATTTTTCCATTTTTGGTAATTTTTCCAAAATTTCGTATTTCGCAGCTATTTAACTCGGCTTGTGGGTTAATTTTGGTCATTCGGTATTATTAATAATATTGAGTTGATTTCAGAGTATTTTCTCTGACTTTTGGGCGTTTTCAGTCGTTTCTTTCTTGCAAATCATCTACTACAACAAGTCAATAGGATAATCACTATCCTACCTGGCATCACAATTATTAAATGATTAGATCACAAATCATAAATTTCATAAGTCACAATTTATTACCAATCATAAATTATCTAATTAGTTGATCGCGTATTATTTTCGATCACAAATTCCATAGGTCACAACTTATTTCTCAATCACAAATTATTAAATCAATATATCACATATTATTTTTCGATCACAAATCACAAATTTAATATAGCACAACTAATTTTACGATCACAAATCTTCAAATTAATTGGTCATAAATTATTTATCGATCATAGATTATCAAATTAATTGGTCACAACTTATTTATCGATCACAAATTATCAAATTAATGGATAAAAACTTCTTTCTCGCTCACAAATTAATTGATCAAAATTACCCAATTAACTAATCAAAAATTTTTCATTGGGACCACCCCACCACCACTATCGACATCACTTCACCACCACCACCTTCATCTCAACTACAACTCTAACCACACCAACACCACCACTGCACCGCACAACCCGCAATGCACCACCATCACTTATATCATCCATCGTGCCAAAACTAGAACAAGCACCGGCAACATCGTCACACACACCACAACACACATAAATCACCACCATAGATTACAAATCACTGCAAACTACCTTATGCACATATTACCAACATACCACCATAGATTTCACACCTTTTTTCTGTCACACACACACACAGAGTTCACCACTGCGCAACTATGCAACACCCCTCACAGTGTCATCGACCCTTACATTGCTGCGCGCAGCGTTGTGCATCAAGTCGTCGCTGTAGAATAAATCACCTAAACAAAAGAAAACTCCAATAGATTGGATCAAGGCATCCTTGTGGTAGTGCTCACAAAAATTGTTGCATCGATGCTCACACTGATGAGCAACGCTCGCCACCGATGTCGACGACAAGAGAAAGAAGGAGAGGTAGAGAGAGAAGGTGAAGAAAATGAATTAGGGTTTTAAAGTGAAATGCGGAAGGTAAGTAAATTAATTTAATATTATAATAATGTTATTTAATGTTAAAATTTGAATTATCACCTGATTTTTGCATAAAAAGCTTTTAAATCTTATTTTTGAAATTAGAAGTTAGAAACCATGGGTAGCTGTAATTTCCACTTCTTTTAACCATTAGAGGTCAGAAGACTCTCAACAAACTACACCACCTTTCTAATCAAAATTGACGTTCGAGTTTTGACCATCCCTTCCTTCAAAATGCTAGAAGAGTGAAGTTAAGAAGTGAATTTTTAGAAAATTTTATATCATTATTATTGTAACTTTGATTGTTTTTATTTAGTAAAAAAAAAAAAATTATTTATAGTCATTGTATGTAATTTTATTTTCAAATATTTACCGACAACTAATATAAAGTTTAACTTAAGGCCCCAAAAATCTTAGGACCGACCTAGACTTCAACTCCGTATTATGCGACAAAACTAAGTCAACTGCTGAAGGTTACCTAGTCCATCTCTTTCCAAGGCCACAAAGACGATGAAGAAAAGTGAAGAGATTTAAAAAATTATTTGGACACTGAGTTAGTAGGTGTGCTCTATTTCGATTGTCGAACTTAGTTTTTATATGAAATTAGCATTGGAATTTAAATTTTTACCTTATTTCGTCACCATACTCAACTTCGACTTTGAAAAGTTGTGAATCTTGTGCCTGACGGTCGAGAACTCTCTGTGCAATAATTTCACACATTGACGTCTTAGACTATTCCACTTATAATTTTCATGTCATGTGCTAGTTCTGTTAGTTTTCAAGGATGATGTTGAGTATAATGACTAATGGAATAAGAAATTGGAAACTCGATGCTAATTTCGTAAAAATCAAGTTCAAGGACCAAAATGAGGCACCCCATGACTTCAATGTCAAACTGGTTTTTAACCAAATGTTCGTGCATTTTTTTCACAGTCAAACCACAATATGAATTCAACGAGAAGAATAAACTAGATGATTTGGAGTTTTCCTCATGTATTTTCTGAGTGATTAGTTTCCTCAACTCTTCTTTGGAAGAGAGATCAGTGAATGCCTGTTTCATTGGCTAGAAGGATTTGTTAATAAAATTAATAATTTTTAACACCCATAAAGCCCATTTCCGAATTGATTTGGTCATATATTGCAAAATTGAGACCTATACCTTATTTTGTCAACTTCAACTCGTACCGGGCTTCTGATTTCTTAATTAAATGTTCACAAATAATTTAAACTCAAGACAGGGACTTCCATACTTTCTGGATAGATCATTCAATAATATTCATTATTAAGTTCTTTATTATGTTATAAATGCATTCGTCAATCCTCTCATCCCGGCAACCCCACCCACTTGCTCCACTACTAATCTCTATCACACTAGAAACAGAAAGTGTATTTCATTAGTAAGACTTCAATTTTGATCAGAAACTCTTTCGAGGACGTGTATGGGGTCATGTGTTAGTGTTACATTGCAAATTCGTGTGGGCGGACAAAACCTAAATTACACAAAAGGACGAAATATTCACATCATAGGG